TCATGTTTACATCTGTGTCTGTTTGCAGGATATTTCAAAAACTACCTTTTGTTAATTTCAGTGACATCAGGTAAACGTTAGCCCAGTGGACAAGGAGCATGTCAGTTCAAATTTCAATGCAGAAGCAGTTGCTGCAGCAGCACCACCATGTGGCCGTTCAAAGAGCTCGCAACATTGGAGGTTTGATTCTATTGTGACTTTCAAGTGAGGGACATCACTAATGCTTCAGTAGGAGACTTTCAGGTAAGTACTAAGTACTACATCTGTTTAATAAGTGCAAGGAGATCAGGTAAAGAAGTTAAGTGGAAGTGAATAGTAAGTGCTAGTTAGGCATGTGAGGGTGTTAGAGGTGTTAGGAGAGGAGGTGCTCTCTGAAGAGAGGAGTCTTCAAGAGATTCTTGAAGACTGGTTCTGTATCTGTTCAGCTGCAAAAGAGAGAAAACAACCATGGAGATGATGGATGATATTGTTTAATTTATCTCTGTTGCTACTTTTCAGTGTTTAAAACACAAAGTGTCTTTATGTTTATGGAAGTTATCAGCAACATGTTATGTTTACATCTGTCTGTTTGCATGATATTTCAAAAACTACCTTTTGTTAATTTCAGTGACATCAGGTAAAAGTTAGCCCAGTGGACAAGGAGCATGTCAGTTCAAATTTCAATGCAGAAGCAGTTGCTGCAGCAGCACCACCATGTGGCCGTTCAAAGAGCTCGCAACATTGGAGGCTTGATTCCATTATGACTTTCAAGTGAGGGACATCACTGAAGCTTCAGTACAGTAGGAGACCTNTACAGTAGGAGACTAAGTACTAAGTACTACATCTGTTTAATAAGTGCAAGGAGATCAGGTAAAGAAGTGCAGTGGAAGTGAATAGTAAGTGCTAGTTATTTATTATATATTATATGTTAGAGTTATTTGTTTACTTGCTGTGAGTCAGATCAGACTGGAAATATGAGGTTAGGGAAAGTTCAGAGATTTGTGGAACACTGTTGAGCACTATAGAAAATTCAGGGAGTGTGTTTAAAATTAAAGTCTTTTGTCAAAAACAAAGTTAAATGAAAATATCAACACCACTCTGGTGTCTGTAAGTGAAACATGAAGCTACAGACAGCGGCTTGTTAGCTTAGGGGGGTGCAAGTTTTAATCAGTCAGACCCTTGCAATGTACCCCCATAATTATGCAACATTTTCAGATGCGCAAAACTAAATGCGGGTCAAACTATATTCACCTTTTCTCCAGGTAACGACAGTGATGCTGATCATGGTGATTAAATAGAGTATTCCAAGCAGCATGCGAACAGGTGTTTGCCACAGGTAAGGAGAAGCTGGAAGACAAGGAAACATTCATGATCAGACCCTCATCAGTCACCAGGTAAAATCAATCAACATCAGGCCAAACACAGTTCATAAGGTCAGAGCAACAATAAATGTTTGACACTATTATTGGTCATATGAGGATCAAAGAACTGGAAACTCAGACAACCAGTAACACTGGTCTGGTCTTGTTAAAATATAATTTAGAAGATTGTGAAAACTTAGCAAACATTCATCATTTTAGATCTGATTCATTCAAATGCTCTTGTTGTGTCTCGGTTTCTTACGACGACTTTGTGTTTTTTTCATTGTAGTTCTACCTGTGTTTCCTGGTGGAGTTGATGCTGCAGTTGTTCCTGGTGGAGATGATGCTGCAGTTGTTCCTGGTGGACATGTTCTCACTGTCACTGTTGGTGTTTTTTTCGTCGGCATTGTCGTTGACGTTGCTGTTGGTTTCGTTTTCTCTTTTGTGTAGAGTAATTAAAACATGTAATAAAAGGCAGGAAATACAGTTCACAGTAACTCATTTGATACACATTGGAAAAACATTCAACACTTCAAAAAAAAAACCTCGGCCACATCCATTTTTGGAAAAAGGTGTCAACAACACTGTTGGCACAACAAAATGTTGTGTGTGGCTTTCAGTCTGTGTGTCTTGCCTCCATGTCAGAGGGTAGGGGACCGTCTACCTGTCTGTGACCTGAGGCCTGTACTATGAAGCAGGATTCGAGGTTAGCGAGGTAACTTCAGGTTTAACTCTGGGTTTTCAGTCCTAAGAATCAGCACTCACTGACTGAAATGTTCATTCAGAGTGTGGATCATTTTCTCTAATCAAAGTCATGAGAGGGTTTAGGCTTTATTTCCTGTTATCATCAAAGAGTCTCCTCTTGTTACTCTGAGCTGCTGGGAGGAAGAAAAGAGTAAAAGCATCAACACTGGTAGGAATCCTGCGGGATTAAAGAACCTCTGTTCAGTTCAAATGAAGCTGTAATAGTTATAACATAGTGATAAACTCTCCCTGTATTTGTTAGAAGCATTTGAGGCTTCAAAAAAACTTCAGAGATTTGAGGAACATGTTGAAGACTATCACAAATTCTGGAAGTCTGTTCAAAGTTAGAGTTTTTTGTCAAAACAAATTTAAATGAAAAGATTAACACCACTGGTGACTGTAAGTTAAACATGAAGCTACAGACAGCAGCTGGTTAGCTTAGCTTAGCAAAAGACTGGAAACAGGGAAACAGCTAGCATGGCTCTGTCAATTGTACAAAAAATCCACTTAGTGGCGGCTCTAAAGCTCACTGAGTAACACATCATATCATGTTTGTTTCATCCTCACAAAAACAAAGTGTAAAAACAAAAATGTGAAAACTCAACTTTAAATTGCATCGAGATTCAAAACAACACTGGCGAGATGTTGCATAATACTTTACAGTTACACATTTACATTTGAAATGTAGCATTTCATTATTAGGAAGTTTAATTTCACATATAAATGTTTTACAGTACTGATGTGTGACAAAGGGAAACCTTTCAAAGGTAAAGAGGAAATTTGTTCTTTGAAAAACAGAGAAAACAGAAATCAGAACAACTTTGATAAAGTCTGATGTTACCTGATGGGATCACCGTCAGTTCTGCAGCTGCTTCATTGTTGCAGAAGTATGTTCCAGAGTCTGAGACAACAGCTCTGAGAATGACCAGTGACTTAAATTTATCTGCCTGTGAACTGTATCTTTTGCGTTGGTCATTGTGTCTGATCTCCCTATCACCATCAGCTGTAAGTAAGTCAACTTTGTTTCCATTAATCTCTCTGCTCCACGTCACTGTACCCTCCACAGGTCGAGGACAAGACAGAGTGACCCGCTGTTTCTCCTCAGATACTTTAAGGATTGTTCCTGCAAAACACAAAGAATTTAAAATAATCAAGAAATGTAACATTTAACTGTCTAATGCAGTGAGAGGACATTGAGTCTGTGTTAATTGTTTTTACATGATAAATCGACTTTATCAAACATCACTGACACAGTCTGCAAACCCAGAACATGTAAAGACCTCACTCTTCAGTGCTGCAGCACTTTATGACAATATCTACACATATCATTAAGAGTCCATTAAATAAATACACTTTAAACAAGTTTGTTTTATGTTCTCAGCCTGTGGCTGTGTTCAACTGAACAAGTGAAACAAGTGTAATCAATAATCAATATATCAACCAGAATAAAAGGTCTTACCTGCAGTGACATTACAGCCCAGAACAAAGGCTAACAGGTAGCTGTAGATATTCACCCTCATCCTGACACAGACCGAAATGATTCAGTTCATACAGTAATATCCAACCTTCTCTTAAGACTGAGAACAGGAACTGGGTGGCCAGATACGTGTTTATCTCAAACACAAATACACATCCTCAACACAGCCCAGTGTCTCCTTGTGGTCGATGTAAGTTAGCAGGTCAGTATTTTTAACTTTACTGAGTAAAGATGAACAAGATATGCTGTGTGTGTGTGTAGATTTTATGCAACTCTGTTTAATTCAGACTCATTTTACAGAAATGTTTCATGTGACTGCAGACCTGATGGCCTGTAGAAGTCTTTATTAATGATTTATTAACTTTATAGTTGCAGGTGGCCGACTAACAGGACACGGTGATGCAGGAGAGTCTTTAGTCACACAACAGAATGGAAACTTCTTCACTTTACATTTACATACATGTTTTTATCCAAAGTGACTTTCAAGTGAGGGACATCACTAAAGCTTCAGTAGGAGACTTTCAGGTAAGTACTAAGTACTACATCTGTTTAATAAGTGCAAGGAGATCAGGTAAAGAAGTTAAGTGGAAGTGAATAGTAAGTGCTAGTTAGGCATGTGAGGGTGTTAGAGGTGTTAGGAGAGGAGGTGCTCTCTGAAGAGAGGAGTCTTCAAGAGATTCTTGAAGACTGGTTCTGTATCTGTTCAGCTGCAAAAGAGAGAAAACTAAGTGTCTTTATGTTTATGGAAGTTATCAGCAACATGTCATGTTTACATCTGTGTCTGTTTGCAGGATATTTCAAAAACTACCTTTTGTTAATTTCAGTGACATCAGGTAAACGTTAGCCCAGTGGACAAGGAGCATGTCAGTTCAAATTTCAATGCAGAAGCAGTTGCTGCAGCAGCACCACCATGTGGCCGTTCAAAGAGCTCGCAACATTGGAGGTTTGATTCCATTATGACTTTCAAGTGAGGGACATCACTAAAGCTTCAGTACAGTAGGAGACTTTCAGGTAAGTACTAAGTACTACATCTGTTTAATAAGTGCAAGGAGATCAGGTAAAGAAGTGCAGTGGAAGTGAATAGTAAGTGCTAGTTATTTATTATATATTATATATTAGAGTTATTTGTTTACTTGCTGTGAGTCAGATCAGACTGGAAATATGAGGTTAGGGAAAGTTCAGAGATTTGTGGAACACTGTTGAGCACTATAGAAAATTCAGGGAGTGTGTTTAAAATTAAAGTCTTTTGTCAAAAACAAAGTTAAATGAAAATATCAACACCACTCTGGTGTCTGTAAGTGAAACATGAAGCTACAGACAGCGGCTTGTTAGCTTAGGGGGGTTGCAAGTTTTAATCAGTCAGACCCTTGCAATGTACCCCCATAATTACGCAACATTTTCAGATGCGCAAAACTAAATGCGGGTCAAACTATATTCACCTTTTCTCCAGGTAACGACAGTGATGCTGATCATGGTGATTAAATAGAGTATTCCAAGCAGCATGAGAACAGGTGTTTGCCACAGGTAAGGAGAAGCTGGAAGACAAGGAAACATTCATGATCAGACCCTCATCAGTCACCAGGTAAAATCAATCAACATCAGGCCAAACACAGTTCATAAGGTCAGAGCAACAATAAATGTTTGACACTATTATTGGTCATATGAGGATCAAAGAACTGGAAACTCAGACAACCAGTAACACTGGTCTGGTCTTGTTAAAATATAATTTAGAAGATTGTGAAAACTTAGCAAACATTCATCATTTAGATCTGATTCATTCAAATGCTCTTGTTGTGTCTCGGTTTCTTACGACGACTTTGTGTTTTTTTCATTGTAGTTCTACCTGTGTTTCCTGGTGGAGTTGATGCTGCAGTTGTTCCTGGTGGAGATTTTTTCGTCGGCATTGTCGTTGACGTTGTTGTTGGTTTCGTTTTCTCTTTTGTGTAGAGTAATTAAAACATGTAATAAAAGGCAGGAAATACAGTTCATAGTAACTCATTTGATACACATTAAAAAGAAATCATAAAACACCTCCTAAAAAAAATTCTGCCACATACATTATTGTAACAAGATGTCAACAACGCTGTTGTCACAACAAAATGTTGTGTGTCTCTTTCAGTCTGTGTGACTTGCCTCTAAGTTTGAGGGTGGGGGGACCATCGACCTTTGACCTGTTGTCTCCTGGAAGCTGTAACAGACTTTGCCTCAACAGCATTGACTGGAGGATTCATTTTAGGCTTTCAGACATATTCACTTTCCTTTATTCTTTGTAGTTATTTTTATATCTGCATCTTTTTGCCTTATGAACTGCTTTAATTTTTTTCTCATGCATATAGAAAATAAATTTTGTTTCTGTTTTCTTTCTTTGTCTTGTTGGTTGTTTGGTTGTTTGTTTCTTTTCTTTGGTTGGTTGGTTAGTTGGTGGTTTTTGTTTCTTTGTCAGCAGGATTATGGAAAAAATACTGATATCCACCAAACTGGAGGGATGAGGCATTTGTGTATTTCTCAGGAAATAATGTTTGGATTGTTTGGAAAAAGATGTTGGAAAAAGGGACAAGGCCACGTCCACTTTTTGTGGTGAGTCATTGAGGAACAGTCTTCTCACAACTTACACCACCTAAACCCAGAGCAGGTTGTTTACTTCCTGTTTTGTAGATACGTAGTCTTCTGTTAAAGTCAACGTCTTGTCCACAGTGGAGACAGGACGCTTGATTTGTTTTTATTTTCATGCAACTTCTCTGCTCCATGTTGGACCGTCTGATCCTCCAACACAAGGAGGACATTCCAGAGTGGTGCTGGTCCTCTCTGTAGCATTGTGTATAATTGTTCCTGTACAGAACAAACTCACTGAGCTACTAAAAGCTCCAGTTCAATTTTGAAATATAATTAGCTGCTTTGAT